ATATATATATATATATATAGGAAAATTTAGGGTTTTGAAAAATAACTAAAAATAATAATAATTACTAAATAAATTAAATAATTATCGGATAATTGTCTACAAATTAAAACAAACCAGTTGTATTAATACAATATATAATACGTAACAATAGAAATAATATAAGAAATTGCACAATTAAACAAGAATAATTAATAAAAATACAATTACTTATATTTAAAATTAAATAATTATGGAATAATTATCCACATAGGAAAATATACTAGTTATACTAATACGATAGATAATATGCAACATAAGAAATAATACAACAAATTATATAAATAATACGTAATTAATAATACAATGTATTATACGAAATAATATGCAACATAATAATAATAATACCACATATTATTCAAAATAATACGTAATAGTATTAGTAATACAACGGATAAATTTTAGAAATATTTATTGTACTAAATAAATTTATAAATATTTAAATCATTTAAATAAATATAAAACTTAGACTTTAAATCATAGAAAATTGTAGAAATTTGAGAAAAATATAAATACTCTTTTAAAAATCAATCATAGAAAATTGTAGAAATTTGAGAAAAATATAAATACTCTTTTAAAAATCATAATTAAATATTTTATAATATTAGAAAATTATTTTAACTAGTATCAAAATTCATGGTCCTTACACAGTACCCACTCTCCTTCTCCACAATGGTCTTGAATTTCTTAAAATTAGCAAAGGTTTCTGACTTGTTTTTTAAGAAATACACCCAACTCATGCAGCTGTAATCATCAGTAAACAGCAAAAAATATCTACTTCCACCCAAAGACTCAATACTCATAGGACCACAAACATCAACATGTACTATTTCAAGACAAGCAGTAGCTCTATATGAGTTATTTACAGGAAACAAATTTCTACTTTGCTTTCCATAAACACATCCTTCACAGAAATCAAATTCATCTATTTTAGGCAGCCCAACAACCATATGTTTCTGACTCAAAACTTTTAACCCCTTGACATTCAAATGCCCATATCGTAAGTGACATACTTTTGTATCATTGTTTTTAGCCACCAAAGCACAGTTTTCCAAAGCAGCAACTTTAAGGGGAAACATTTTATTTTGAGTCATTGGAATATTCACAATAGACTGACCATATAACTGATCTTTAACCAAACAACATCCATCGGCAAACACAAGTGAATATCCACAATTCATCAATTGCCCAACACTTAACAAATTATGAGCTAAATTAGGGACATACTGCACATCATGAATGAGTTTAACATTACCTTGAGTGGTTTTGATGGCAATAGTACCTTTCCCTTCAACCTTCATCAACTTGTTGTCTCCGAGCCGGACTTCACTTTTCTGGGACTCATCAAGCTCTTTAAATAACAACTTTGTTCCGGACATGTGATTAGAACACCCACTGTCCATAAACCATACTCCATTCCGATCATCATCAATGGGGGAATAGGCCATGAACCAATTACTTTCTTGTTCAGCCTTCTCTGTAAAGTTTGCTTGCTTCTGCTCATCCTTTTGCTTGCTCCAGCAATCAGCTTCCTTGTGTCCATATTTTTTGCAATAACGGCACTGGAAGGTGCTCTTATGCTGACGTTGATCACCAAACTGACCTCTGCCTCTACCGCCACCATGACCTCGGCCACGGAAACCACCTCTGCCTTGACCTCTTCCTGCTAAACTTTCTGACCTGCCTTTATAGTAGGACTCCCCCTTTGCTTGAAATGCCTTTTCGTCAACCTTTTCACAGGACCTATTCAGCCTATCTTCATGAGCCAACAGAGAACTTAACAACTCATCAAAAGAATACATAGATAGGTCCTTAGACTCCTCAATGGTAGCAACCACATGATCAAATTTTGAGGTTAAACTCCTCAAAACTTTACTCACAACAATTTCATTACTGACGTCTTCACCATACGATTTCATATGATTCACAAGCCCAGACACTCTAGACAGATACACTTGCATAGATTCACCAGTTTTCATAGCCAACATTTCAAAATTACGACGGAGAGTTTGCAATTTCACAGCAATTACCTTCTTGTCGCCTAAATACTCTTGCTTTAGTATCTCCCATGCCTGAGTGGAGGTACTACCTACTGCAATTCAAGCAAAAATTTCATCATCAAGGGCCTGTTGAATGAGAAACAAAGCCTTTGCATCCTTCTTGCGATTCTCCCGCAACTGTTGGTCGGGTACGGCAGATTTTGGATCTTCAAACCCGTTCTCGACCAAGTCCCACAGCTCTTGAGACTTGAACATGGTTTTCATCTCCAAACTCCAAAAGTGATAATTTTCGCCCTTAAAAGTTGGAATTAAGGGCTGAGAAACGGAACTCATCCCATTATTTGCCATCGCTCAATTTTTTTATATGGGTGTGTGTTTACTTCACTTCCCTCTCTCTTACTTTCCCTTTTCCAGTTAAAGACTGAACCTGTTTTTTTTTTTTTGGAGGAGAATAAAATTTCCCGTGATTTCTCTCTCTCAAAGCTCTAATACCATAATATTGTTGGGAAGAAAGTAAAGTTTCTTTTCATTAACTGCAATCACACACCTTACACAAATCAATCAAAGCCTTAAGTAGGCTTACACCACTACTGAAATAGCTAAAAATAAGGAGAAAGTGGGGAAACATGGCCCATGACTCTAACTGCATAAATGAAAATGCTAACCAACTAATTAAAGACTAAAGGACCCACTAAAAACAGAAAACTAGCAGCCACAAATAAAATAAAAAGAATGACCCACTAGCTATTTGAAGCACTATGGTACTATATGCAACACTCTATTCGCAATTGGATGATACTAAAGAGATGGTATTCACAATTTATCAAAATATCTTAGTTTGTACTTATTTGTTCCATCGTGATTATATAAATACATACAAGACGGATGATACAACACTACTTCGCATACAGTTCTCTCTTCCTTTGACCTTCAATACGCAGTATATGCAACGCTTGCAACCTCATACGATTGTCGTCAACCCACCAAATCCTCAACCCAATTCTCAACCCTCTTTAATCCTTGTTTTAACATGCATTCTGAATCATTATCTAGAATTTAATGCATGTGAATCCTTACCCCCATCTAGGCTCTGATCATACCAAACGTTGTCTTTTTATATTACTCTCTGAATTCGAGATAGGTTACCTCTTTATGGATCCGTAGAAATCTCTTATTAGTGGATTTCGAGATTTTATTCCCTCACATCATACAATCCTTGTTAACTTCCAATTAATATTTGCAGAGAAGAAACTTTGAATCCTTGCCTAACATCGTGGGTACGCAAGTCGTCCCGTTTAGCCTGTAGTCAGGAAAGTAGTGGCCATACAAATTCACCAAAGACCATGCCAACCAAAAAAGCAACGTGTGCTCGACCTCATCCAACAGAAAAGCAACGTGTGCTAGACCTCATCCAATAGTACCTTCATTAGCTCCGGTAATAGATCGAAAGAATCCAAGTTTTTGAAAGAAATTAATGATAGAAATCCACCCACCAACCAGCTTCCCCTTATAATTGAGCCATTCGTACAATACATTGAAAAAATTTTAGGTGCTCCATGTGCAGTACACCCCATCAATAGAAGAATGACATGTAGCACAAACCATTTGTAAAAATGAGAAGATGATCAAAATAAGTAATTTGTCTTTTGTTACATACCCTTCTTCTTTTGATGTGGTGTAGTGCTCGTGGAGCACCTGAGAATTTATTGCAGCTGAGATGTATTTCCTGATCGTTAGTGTGCAAATGAAAAATTGTATGGATTAACTTTAGCTTCTGTAGAATTATTAATTGGTTTGATCTGAAATGCTAGATATAAGTAAAGTAGGAGCCGCGTTGTACTGATTGATCAACACAGGCTATATATGAACTGATACAGATGTGGCAAACAAACATGTATTTATGTATTTGCAGTGACTCTAGACTAGTACAGGTTTAGTTTTGGCAAACAAACGTTATACCCAGTTTCACAAGTATATAAATTTTTTTCCATAAAAAGAGGGGCCGTACTTTTTATCTCCACGAGTAGGGATCTTGATGGGAGAAAATCATACGCTATATATATTCTGGTAGAATTGTTTGCTAGGAGAAAATTATTCATTATATATTCTATCAGAATTGTCTACACGAGAGTGAGTGTGACATCCCCACTTTAGTCCCATATGGACAAATGTGAAAAAATGTTGATGGTTTAAATAAAGGAAAACCCAAAGCTCAAGAACAACTAGTGCTAGCATTTTGGCAGTAGACTTTAGCCAACATCGAATTGCTCTCGTTGGGTCCCGCGGCTTGCACGCGCTAACTGGCCAGTAGGCCAGGGTCATGACAAATGATATCAGAGCAGTTGCCAGCCGGAAATGTGGAGCTAAGTACTATACGGGGCTAAGTGCTAAACCGCGTGGGTGCGGTGGGAGCCACCTCTAGACCCTCTCATTGGGTCCTACGGCTTGCACACGCCAACGGACCCGTGAGCCCGGGGCGTGACAGTGAGTCAGTCATTATGACCATTGAATTGCCATATATGTTTGTTCTGAGACTAATATAGCATGAGTTAAGGATCAATTAATGTGGAGCGCAATGATATTACTCTTATATTATAACTTAGCCTAATAAATGGTTTTAGGATTCCATTTGATGTACATGCTGTTACGTTTTGCCATATAGTCATTTGTGCATGCTCGAGTTGGATCGACTGCATCAAACTAAGGTGGAGATTTTTTTTAAAATGTTTCGCATCCATTTGCACAGTGCAGATGTGGATTTGGTCGGGTCCGGATCTCTATCATCTTGATTGTAGAGAAAGCCTACAATTAGCTATGTGGATTAATTAATACTATTGGTATATCTCAGTGGGTGCCGTAATTAGATGTTTTTATATAACTTAAATAATTAATATCATTCAGGGGGTCCACTGAGTGAGAAGAGTTGATTGGTGAATTGTAGAGTTTCTTTAGGACTAATTAGGATGCAGAGGATCTCTACCCGATTTGGTCCAACGTGGGAATGATTATAGTGTCCAAATTGAAGGAAAAATTAGATGGATGTACGGTAAACATGTTGTACTTGTGACTCAAACACAACTGATTGTCTTTTCGAATGAATTTGGATGTAGACCAAATCAATTTCAGTCCACAAGCCTTCGCAACCCAATACCTTGTCACGAGAGAATCATGTATGTTTACTCAAATATTTATTCATTATGTATATATATTTAAAGACATATATTACTGTACCAAGACCACCACAATGACACTAAAGCAAACGAAACAAACCCATGACACCACAACAAAGGGTGCTAGCAAGACAACACGGATGGACTCATGAAACAGACAGAATTACGTACAACGGAAATTTGCACAACACTAGAACGTTCGGGCAAGCCTCCGATTTATTCTTCAGACCCCTCTACGTACCTAAAGCTCTGAAGGAGCTCCTGAGACTCCTCAGTGCACTCTGCAAAACAACATTCAAACAAAAATCAAATATCAGTTTAGTTTCTTCCTATACAAATTAACAAAAACCTAACTGAAACGGAAATAAAAGATTTAATGTTATATACGTCTAGATAATTTTATTTTGGGTTAATTTCACAAAATCCCTGCGCTTTAGTCTTCTTTCTCACAAGACTACCTCCTACTCTGTATTTGGCATATAACTAAAATGTCCTTAAGAGAAAGAAGATTAAGTAATCAATCTTGAGAAATAACTCCAAGTTCCTGCAAGGGTTTTTGTAAATAGTTTACCCTTCATATTTTTAATTGAAAATCAATTCATCCTTCGTCTGATGTGCAGCTTCAGTAGGGGGAACAAAAACACTTACGTGGCGCAGTTGATGGAAGTGCTAATGGAGTAGGGGAGGCTAACACCACATTTTCCAGGGAGCCCAGCAGCAAGGGGTACTTTCAGACCGGGGAGTTTAGCAGCTGCGGACTTGAGGCAGTTGCAGGCCTGCTGGCGATCGGGAGTGCTTTTCGCCATTGAATTCAGCGACCTGATACCGCTGCAGCACCCAGCGGGCAGGGGCCCCTTGCCCATGACATAGCTCACGCACGGCCCGATCTTGGAATCTACTGCCCCGCACGTGATCGCTCCCTCTGCGTAGGGGGCGGCGGACCAGGCGAAGGCGAAGAGGATTGCGAAGAGAGCAGCGGAGCGAGCCATTTCGATGTTAATTTGTATTTAATTGAATTGGGTGATGAGGATGATGAAGGAAATGGCGTGGAGGGGCGTAGGTTTATATATATAGGGCTTTTGGATGAGGGAGTGAATGAATGGGTGGCGGTTGGCGGTTGGCGGTTGGGAGAGTGTGGGGGGGGGGGGGGGGCGGGGGATGGGATGCGAGTCAATTTTTGTGAGTAAAGAGCGTCTCTCTGTGAATGTTTTGGTACTAGAAATCTTTTATCTCGATCGGGCGTCGGCACGGTACTCTTTTGCTACGTGCAGTAATTTAGCTTCGAAATGTCAGTTGAAATGAAATATTGGGTTCCGTTATTGGAGTAAGCATTATTATTCAGTGAGCTAAGGTAGCTTTTATAATTGATACATGCATGTTACTATATGTTCGCATTTGTTTAGATAATTAGATATTTAGTTCCTAAATGGTTCCTCAAATCTTTGTATTTTGAAATTAGTTCCGTAGATTTTTTTAGGTGACTTGAAATTAGTCCATATCTAATTAGAGACTTGTTGAAATTAACTGAGGGAATATTTCATCAATTTTAACATTTTTTGGTACAATAACAAATATGGTTTTTACGCATTCAAATCCAAACCCTAGAAAAACTTTATTTGAGCACAACTGGGGACAGATTCCATAATATTAGAGTTGAGTTCACCGTGATTTTGATATTGGTTTTAGTTGTTTTGTGTAATATAAATATTTTATTTAAATTTATTAATTCATAATGAAGAATTTATATCAATAATTAGTAAAAATAAGACTTAATATTGTCAGACTCTTTGCACCACACTAAAACTAAGAAAATCTGATGATGATTATAGTTCTATATTCTAATATGTTCTAGCACGTTGAGTGCTTTTTCATAGACTACTACAGAAATCCGGATTCACGGAACGGTATCTTTTTTCTTAAAAGATCTGTTTTAATTAGAAATTATGATCAATATATCAAATATAATGTATCAAATGATTCTGCTACTACACCAAAACTACAAAGCCGTGGCTTGGAAATGACATGAGGTGTACGTACCCTCGTTAGACAACCTTCTTGTTCTACCTAGCTCGTCTCATCAGATTACTCAAATGGACTAATCAGTGCTTCTTTTAATGGGGATCCGACTTCAGTATCGATTATAGCAAATTACCCGTGTGCGTACCTCACAATACTAAAGGAATCATTTGATGAATGATAAAAAAACCTCTGAAATCCAATTTTTTAAGAGGTCTGATCGTAGAAGTGAAGGATAACTTCAGCATTTTCCTTGAGAACTAAAAAACGCCATTGATATTTAATCCTAAGCATTCAAGTAAAAGAGAGACGTTTGCAGTCCAGCGGTCCACAAAGCAATGAATGCGAGAATCATGCACTGACATGAGTCTGCCACGTCAAAAACTTTGAAAAGGACCCAACACCCGCTCGCTTGCATCCATAACCTTAGCATACTGGCATTGAATGCACGGAGAAAGACATAGATCCAACCTCTCCATGTGTAGTTGCCCGTTAAATTGGACGTGTTGCCCATATTCACGTCTTTTTCTCAAATTCGATGAACGTGAGAACGTGGCAGCTGCTCACCGCATCTTCGGCTTCGCAATTAAGATTGGACGCTGCAGTACCGTGTATGGACTTTTGCTTGCTAGTGGATCGTATCTGGCCACGGCGAATTTATTGGGCCTGTCGGGTCGACCTGATCACGGATCAGTGTAGACGATGAAAACATGACTTGTTTTGTTGATTTTCTGTGAAAATTTACCTGCAAGAAGATTCCAAAGGGTTATTCATTTCAAGTTAAAAAGTCATTTATAGTTTCCACCAATATATATGCTTCGTAGTTATATGAAAGCCACACAATATTTTTTTAATTTACTGTAAAAAAAAGAAAAGAAAAGATAAGTGTAAATTAGGAAGGCAGAGTAAAGAATGGTAAAGAAAGGAGAAATTATAGTAACTTGCTTGAGAGTTTATTAAGAGAAGGAAAGGGGCCGGATTTATGTAAAATTACATAAATAGCCTCACGTATTGTTAAAATGTTTTACTATTAGAGGGCAAAATAGACCCATCAAAACTATTTATTAGATGGTAGCTCCCTTTCTCTTGGTTACAACCCAAATTGAGGAGAAAAGAAAAATTAATGTTTAGGAAGTCTTGTCACGTTAGCTACCCTTCACTCTATTGAGGTAATTAATATATGAAAATAGACTCATATCGTATAGGGTAGAAAAGAATGATGAGTTTAAAATAGGAGTTGGGGCAATTATGTAATAGCTATAACTTCTGGGTTAGAATTAATTCATAGTTTCTATTTAGATCCCACTTTTATTGATTGACCAGTCCGTCAAATTAGTTTTTTTTTTCTTTAGCAATTTGACTTCATGTGTATGATGTGGGTTTTATATATGCAAGTTTGAGCATCCCAATTTAATTAAAGACCCACAATTATATATATACTAGGTTTTATACACGTGCAATGCATGTGGTTAAATACCATGATAAAGTTTTTTTAGATTATTTTCTATCTTTGAGAAAGTACAGTGTTGCAAAAGTAAAATATATTGAAATAATGTTATACAAGAATGTGAATATTTAAAACCAATAAGACAAAATGATTGGTTAAAAGTATGTTAAAACGATACAAAAGAGAATATCAAGTTTGTTCCTAATCATTGATAGACTTCAAAAAAATTTATAAATTAAAGATTAATGCTAACTCTTGTATTTTTTCATATGATAAAAGCATCTGCACAAGCATATAAAAGTATTGATAAAAGCTCATGAAACTCTCTTCTAAAGATTCCTAAATTCACTCAAAATAATTAAACTATTCTATAAAATATTCAGAAAATATTATCTTTTATTTCTTCTGTTTTATTTTTTATTGAACTAAGATCAATCCTTCCTCACTTTTATATTTTTTCCCAAGCAATTCTAGTGTAGTGTCTTCATTATCTACTCGATTGTGATATCAGATTAGAGTTGTATTTTTTGTGATGTTATCTTTCATGGGCTCGTTAACCTTTTATCTTGTCGTTTAACTTCACAAAGAAGTTAAATGTATTTCTGATATTCAACACAAAGTTCTTGAAATACAAACTTTGATTTTTTAATGAGAATAAATATTAATCTCATATATATGAAATTCTTTGTGTTTTTAATTTATTACTTAAATAAGATTAGGAGTTATATTTTTTTCTCTACAATGAATTCTTCTGATGTGCATCCAATAAGTGTTTCCATTATGTATAATATTATATTTGCTCTATCCCTGTCATTTTCCACAAAGATCTAAACTAAATATATACCTATATTTTTTTATTGCCAAATTGTCTTAGATTATAATATCAATATTTAATTTTTTTAGTATTTAAATAATAAAGTATGAAATTTATGAATGCTTACTAATCTTTTTTATATCTTTCATAGAGAATTCTTCTTTGATTGGGATAACATTATTAAATTATTCTTCAATATAACTCAGTTGGTTCTTCTTTAATAGATATGTCTTATGTTAATGCCAATTCAAATGATTTATGGACGCTTTCTGAAATTTAGATTTATTTTCGTCACTTTTCCATTTGCAATGAAAATAGCTTGATTCTTTTGAATGATATCACTGAACATTCTGATAGTTTCTCCATACATAATTCATTGTATTCTTTTACCCTATAAATATTATTAACATCAAAGATTAATGTTTTCAATTATAATCAATTAATGCTAAGCTATTATATTATAGTTTTTTATTATTTTTATTGATTTAATCATCTATAAATTAATATTACTAATGTGTTTTGTTGCTCCATCTTATTAGTAAAATTTTATGCAGTTACTTTAATTTATATGGTAATAATAATTTTAAGCTATAATATTTTTAAAATTTTTATTTTCTAATCGGATATTTTTAATCAATTATTATTACTTTTGTTTACCAGTATCAACTTAGACTATCTTTAGATGCTCAAAAGGGATTTTTGCTTCCTAATCGAATATTTTCTTTGCTAATTTTTAAAAATTTAGCCTTTTTTTTGGTTTCGAACTTTGAGGGTGTGATTTATACTTTTTTAAACTTAAAGAGTATTTTTAAAAAAATACTTTTAAGTTTGGTAGTTGTAACTTCTATGCTTCATGTGTCGGTGGTAACTTTTAAATGTCACGATGTTTCTTACAACTCTGAAATTTTGAGGCTATTTTTTACAATTGTTAAAGCTGTAAATTAATTTAAAAATTTAAATTTTAGCGATCTACCAATAGTTTTCGGATTTGATGTGTAGTGGGGTTATAAAATTTAAAATTTAGAGTTTTTATGATTTTTAAATTTTGAAAGAGTTTTTTCTATAACTTTTATAACTTCGAGATTAATTTTGGTAAAATTTAAATTTTTAGGTGCATAAGAGTAATCTCTTGAATTCATCTTTTGTTGTTTGTAAATTTTAAAATTTTAAAATTTTAGGGTTATTTTTTATAATTTGAACTTTTGAGAGTGTTTCTATAATTTTTAGGACATTGAGCGTGTTAATTAAAAATTTGAAATTTTTCGGAGGATGCTATTTATATCTTGATTTCATGTTTGTTGTTTTAAGTTTTAAAATGTCAAAAATGTTCAGGTACATTATGGTAATCCCTTGAATTCATCTATGTTGTTTGCAAGTTTTAAAATTTTAGAATTTCAGGTGCTTGTTTATAATTTGAACTTTTGAGGGTGTTTCCATAATTTTTGAGATATTGAGTTGTTAACCATACATTTTTTTTTTGCAAACTGCTGTTAATTTCTTAATTTCTTATTTGTTGTTTTAAGTTTTTAGATGACATGATAGTTTTTATAATTTTGAACTTTTTAGGGTATTTTGTATAATTTTAAAACTTTTTAGGGTTTTTTTGCAATACTTTATGTATTATAGTACGTTAGCTATGTATAATTTCTTTATCTTAACAATGTAATACAATGAAGATGTTTTATATATTTTATTAATATTATTTTTTTAAATTGTTAAGCTATAGATAGTTCATGTAGGATTAATATAGGATATAATTATGATTATAAT